ATTTATTCTAAGAGTCTGGAAGAGCACGTAGAGCATTTGAAGATAGTATTACAGATTTTAAAGGAAAGGCAACTTTATGCCTAATTCTCAAAGTGTGAGTTTTGGCTTTGGAAAGTGCAATTTTTGGGGTATGCAGTATCAAGTGAAGGGATCATGGTTGACCCAACAAAGGTTGAATCAATGATGCATTGAACAAGACCTTCAACACCTACAAAAATTAGAAGTTTATTGGGATTAGCAAGATACTATAGAAAATTTATTGAGGGATTTTCATGGATAGCATTGCCACTAAATAAGTTGACTCGGAAAGGACAAGAGTTTGTTCGGAGTGATGCATGTGAGGTGAGCTTTCAAGAATTGAAGAGGCGGTTGACATCTGCACCAATTTTGATTTTTCTCAACCCGGAAAAGAGATTTGAAGTTTATTGTGATGCATCAGGGCAAGAATTACGATGTGTTTTAATGCAAAAGTGAAAGTTAGTTGCTTATGCTTTTAGGAAATTGAGACCACATGAAGTAAATTACCTAACGCACAACTTAGAGTTAGCTGTAGTAGTGTTCACATTAAAAATCTGGAGACCCTATCTTTATGGTGCAAGATTCAAAGTGTTTAGTGACCACAAGAGCTTTAAGTATCTGTTCGATTAAAAGGAGTTAAATATGCGACAAAGGAGGTGGATGGAGTTCCTAAAAGACTATGATTTTGAATTATCATATCACCTTGGAAAAACAAATGTTGTCATTGATGCTTTGAGTAGAAAATTTTTGCATATTTCGGCCATGATGGTGAAGGAATGGCAATTAGTGGAGGAGTTTAGAGACTTGAACTTAGATGTGGAAGTGTGGCCTAAAAGTTTGTATTTAGGAACTTTGAAGATTAGTAATGATTTCGTCATGCAAGTTAGGGAAGTGCAACAAAAAGACCAGATTTTGCAAGACATGATGCGATAAAAGGAAGAGGGTAAGAACATGGAATTTTATCATGATGCAAACAAACTCATCAAAATCAAGGATAGAGTGTGCATTCCACAAGTGAACGAATTAAAACAAACGATATTGGAGGAAGTGCATAAGAGTAAATTGAGTTTTCATCCAGGATCCACATAGATGTACCAAGATCTTCGGAGGAATTTTTTGTGGCACAGGATGAAGAAAGATGTAGCTAAATTTGTGGCGAAGTGTTTAACTTGTTCTGAGTCAAAAGCATAACATCAACGTACACCTGGAGAGTTGTAACCATTCGAAATTCCTGAGTGGAAATGGGACAATATTTCTATGGATTTCGTTTCGAGGTTACCAATGACTAAACACTATTTTGATGCTATTTGGGTGATTATGTATTGATTGACAAAGACTACACATTTTCTTTTGATTAATATGAGGTATAAACTAGAAAAGCTTGTAGAGTTGTATATCAAGGAAATTGTAAGACTACATGGAGTTCCTATGAGTATTGTATCTGATCGAGACCCACGGTTCACTTCAAAGTTTTGGGAGAGCTTACGGAAATCATTGGGAACTAGATTGAAGCTTAGTTAGGCATATCATCCACAAACTGATGATGGGCAGACAAAGTGAACAATCCAATCCTTAGAAGATTTATTGCAAGCCTATGTGATGGAGCAACAAAGTGCATGGGATGAATGTCTACCTTTGGTGGAATTTACATATAATAATAGTTTTTATGCGAGCATTGGGATGACACCTCATGAAGTGCTTTATGGTAGGAAATGTAAAACACCGTTATGTTGGTATGAGACGGGAGAGGCATCTTTATTGGCTCTAGATGTGTTGCAAAGACATAATGAACAAGTTAAGATGATCAAAGAGAAAATTAGAGCATTGCAAGATCGACAAAAGAGTTATTACGATTGGCGAAGAAAATTGCTAGAATTTCAAGTCAGAGATCATGTGCTTCTAAAGGTTTCTCCTATTAGTGGAGTGGGTCGAGCTCTAAAGTCTAGAAAGTTGTTGCCAAATTTTGTTGGACCTTTTGAAGTCTTGAAAAGAATTGGTCTAGTTGCCTACCAAATTGCCTTGCCACCCAATCTATCTAAATTGCATTCAATTTTTCATGTATCACAACTTAGGCAATATATCCCTAATCCTTCTCATGTGATCGAACTTGATCCTATACAAGTTTGAGATAATCTTACCTATGATGCAAACCTTATGAAGATCATCAATCGTAAAAACAAGCAGTTACATGACAAAATAATCTTGCTTGTAAAAGTCATGTTGATTACAACAAATGAAGGAGATGTAACATGTGAACTAGAGGACATGATGAGAGAGTTGTATCCACATTTGTTCTAAGGTTAATGAATTTGGGGACGAAATTCTAAAAAAAGAGTGGTAGAGTTGTAACACTATAAAATTTTAATAGTTGATATTTATTTAATTTATAATTATTATGTTACAAAAGGTATAAATATATATATAAATATATATAATAAATAAATAAATAAAAATTCTTGTTTTTTGGTATGTGAAATTATTTATTCTATTTACACGAGATTTTTTTTTCATATCTAAGAATTTAATTATTTTAAGTTGTGAATTCTTGTTTTAGAAAATGAATTTAAATATTTTATTATGTGAAAGATTAATTTTGGTTTGAAAGAATATTTTCAATAAAATATCAAAATTTAGTTTCCACCACATTTTTTTAATAATTAATTTAGTACAAGTACTTTATGTTTATTTTGACTACAAATGTTAGTAAACATGTTTGTATAATAAACAAGTTTATATAATAAACATGTTTGTATAATAAACAAGTTTATATAATAAACATGTTTGTGCATTTTACAAGATAAAATGCTAGTAAATACTATATTTGAATATATAATTTATATTTAAGTCTTAAATAAATAAATATTTTTAAATATATAAATTATACGTTAGATTTATGGTAAATAATTTTATATTGTAAAACAATATTATATGTTACCGTTTAATCCCTATATTATTTCTCTCTCCTAACTAATAATGATATTTTTCATAACCAATTATACTACATATACTTTAAAAGAGCTTATAATTAATTAATGTATTTTTATCAAATTAAGAGAAAACATTTTAGTTATAGGTATTTAAGTCTAAAAATATTAATATATGAAACAATATGAATTTGGTCTTGTATAAAGAGTTTCTAGAAGTGGGAGTCAATTATTTATGTTAATATATATTATATATTTTTATGTTGTGTGCTTGTTGTCTAGTTGTAGTGTAAGTTAGTTTCTAAAAAACATACATTGGCCTTTACTTTCACCAAAATTTGTAAATGCTTCAATGAAGATGATGTTTTAGTTATTCTAATATCCATGGTGGTGAGAATACTTATAAAACACTCTGACATTAAGTTAGATGAGAGTCTAGATAAAGAATAAAATTATATTAAAATGATATATGATGTTTTATATATAATTTTGAATCATATTATATGATAACTAATGATTGTGTAAAAATATTATTATTAATTAATTAATACATTTTATTAGATGAATTTAATATGCTTAATTATCATATTTTAAAAGATATTTATATCAAAATATCTTACTAGATAAGTTAATTATCTAAGATTTCACTTTATAATAAATATTTATCATGTAAAATTGCACATACTAAAATGCCACATAATTTAAAGCGAGAGAAAAGTTAAGGTTAAACATGCCTTAATATATATATAATAAATAAATAAATAAAAATTCTTGTTTTTTGGTATGTGAAATTATTTATTCTATTTACACGAGATTTTTTTTTCATATCTAAGAATTTAATTATTTTAAGTTGTGAATTCTTGTTTTAGAAAATGAATTTAAATATTTTATTATGTGAAAGATTAATTTTGGTTTGAAAGAATATTTTCAATAAAATTTCAAAATTTAGTTTCCACCACATTTTTTTAATAATTAATTTAGTACAAGTACTTTATGTTTATTTTGACTACAAATGTTAGTAAACATGTTTGTATAATAAACAAGTTTATATAATAAACATGTTTGTATAATAAACAAGTTTATATAATAAACATGTTTGTGCATTTTACAAGATAAAATGCTAGTAAATACTATATTTGAATATATAATTTATATTTAAGTCTTAAATAAATAAATATTTTTAAATATATAAATTATACGTTAGATTTATGGTAAATAATTTTATATTGTAAAACAATATTATATGTTACCGTTTAATCCCTATATTATTTCTCTCTCCTAACTAATAATGATATTTTTCATAACCAATTATACTACATATACTTTAAAAGAGCTTATAATTAATTAATGTATTTTTATCAAATTAAGAGAAAACATTTTAGTTATAGGTATTTAAGTCTAAAAATATTAATATATGAAACAATATGAATTTGGTCTTGTATAAAGAGTTTCTAGAAGTGGGAGTCAATTATTTATGTTAATATATATTATATATTTTTATGTTGTGTGCTTGTTGTCTAGTTGTAGTGTAAGTTAGTTTCTAAAAAACATACATTGGCCTTTACTTTCACCAAAATTTGTAAATGCTTCAATGAAGATGATGTTTTAGTTATTCTAATATCCATGGTGGTGAGAATACTTATAAAACACTCTGACATTAAGTTAGATGAGAGTCTAGATAAAGAATAAAATTATATTAAAATGATATATGATGTTTTATATATAATTTTGAATCATATTATATGATAACTAATGATTGTGTAAAAATATTATTATTAATTAATTAATACATTTTATTAGATGAATTTAATATGCTTAATTATCATATTTTAAAAGATATTTATATCAAAATATCTTACTAGATAAGTTAATTATCTAAGATTTCACTTTATAATAAATATTTATCATGTAAAATTGCACATACTAAAATGCCACATAATTTAAAGCGAGAGAAAAGTTAAGGTTAAACATGCCTTAATATTTAACATGAATACCCTAATTGTCATTTAAATATATATATATATATATATATATATATATATATTTTTTAAGAATTCATTTAGTAATAAGTAATTAGTACTGAAAATCCTGTGTTTTCGAGGCGAATTTATCACTGGGTACTGTTCAGTGAACCAACAAAGTTTCTGAAGCATAATCCAATCTCATTCAGTAACCTCAATGGGTTACATTGAAGACGCACGCCAGAATCACGTTAAGAAGAAAGTGGAAGAAGGTACTACCTTTTATTTTCTTTATCCATAAACCCTAAACCCTAATCGCACCGTTTGATTACTTGCTAGAAAAATAAAGTTATGATTTTGGACGAAGAAATGCGTACCCTTTGCGTTAATCTTGGTTTAATTCAAATGGGTAATTCTCATGTCAATCCAAAATGACGTTATGATTAAGAAAGATCAAACATTTTTTTTTAATTTTTTTATCAGTGAAATTAATGTGCTGATGTATCATCAAATTTGTAGCTTTACGCAGCAAAATGAAGCAGAAGGCACTGAAAGAGTGCGATCGTTACACGGCAAAGTATGCTGAATGCGCTTCGGGAAGAACACTGTCAGTTGTGTGGAGCTGTCGCCAACAAGCCAAAGAGTTGAATGATTGTCTTCATCAATTGTAAGCTCTGTTGTGCAATGTATCATTATTTGGTTGGATTCAGTTTATGGATTCTTTTGTGGAAAACAAGGAAAATGAAATTTGATTTCTTGACAAGTTAAATGCATATGTTAAACTGTAAAGCTATTTTAGTCTATAATCTAATTATAGATTGTCATGCATTGTAAAATTGTTGACTTTTGTAATAATTACTTTAAAATTCATATCTAGGGTGATTTCTGATCTGTTAACAGTGTGAAAATCTTTATATTGAATTATTGATAATGCATGAAAATTACACTATACAATTATCATCAATTTCCACTATTTGTAACTGTTGGCTGTTCATTTCATTCTTGATTCTCCCTTTGTGATTGTGCATCTTACTGTGTTACTCAGAATTATTCATATGATAGTTGAATTGAAGATTTAAGTTCTTAGCATATTTCGGAAGGTTTATCAGTCTTGACCTATATTCATTGAAAATACACGAAGACGTCTCTTGCAGGATGGGGGGATAGGTACAGGTGACTTCCAAAGAGGAATTGACAAATTGAGTCTTAGCCTTTTGAAGAAACAGACGGAGTATTGTCTGTCATTAAGATTGCCTTGACAAATATTTTCTGTTTTTACTAATAATTACAGAACACCACCTTATATTCACTGTTTATTGTATTCAAATATTTGTAGGCTGTTGTTTTCTTCATATCCTATATGAATCTTTGAAAATAAGAAGCAAAATGAAAGCAAGGTTGGTAATAGAAAATGAAAACAGTAAAATTGTTTAAACCAAATAGGCCCTAAAGTTGTACATGTTGCCCATATGAAGTTATGGTCACTCAATTCTTTTTCAGAGTAAACCCCTGCACTGGTCTTTTAAAGATTCTTATTCACCAAATTACTCCCTCAAAGATATTAATTGTCATCAGTTTCGTTCTCATGGAGGACTAAAGTAGTGATACATAAGGTAATGAATTTGGTAACTAATTTACATCTTTTATAGAAAAAATTGGTTACAGCATTATTTGGAGGACTAATGCAGTGACATGCTAATCTTTGTAAGACTGATTAGAGGGTTCTGTTGTATTACTATCAATGGTTGTAAGAAAGGACAGATCTAACTATACTGTTTTGCTTTCTTATCAAGTTTACAGATACTTGCATAGATGCTGAAAACTTAATAACATATATTCTTGATCTTGTCTCTTGTGCACATTAAAAAACTCTCTTTCCCTGTTTTGCTTTCTTATCAAGTTTACAGATACTTGCATAGATGCTGAAAACTTAATAACATATATTCTTGATCTTGTCTCTTGTGCACATTAAAAAACTATCTTTCCCTGAATAAGTTCTATTGGTTTATTGTTTTGTACTTGCCGTAAAACTCTACAGCATTGAAGATCAATTTATATGTATATGTATAAGGTTGTTTCTACTTTTGTATTCTTTTGTTACCAATGTACAATGATACTTGTATACTGTGTTAGGAATCAAGGATAGAAAATTGGAAAGTGATAGGATCAGTTAGCAGTTATGTTAGAAATAAGGGGAATGGGCCTGCAACTGATTAGGCCCATTGAGTGTGGATTTATTTTAGCAGACCCTTATCTGTATATAAATAGGAAGAGGGGTTGAGAGGGATTTCAGCTTGTTAATTGAGAAGAGTTAGGGCCTTTGGGCATTGGGAGGTGCAGACCCTCAAAGTTCTGTGGTCATACTGTAATCAGGGGAATTTCCCCATTTTCTCAATAAATTTGATCCAGTTTCTATCAGAAAGAAAAGAAAGATTATATTGAATTGAATGGAAAGAACCAATAATAGGAGAGAGATCTCTCGTCCTAGGGTTTTCCCTTCACCAAGTATTTCTCCTTTTATAAATGGTAAAAGCACAATATAACAAATGATAAACAAATACAATGAAACTGTTTTTCCTTATTTCCCCCTGTTTATATATTATTAATTCCAATAATTAGCTAATTAACTACTCTTACTGTTTATAACAAATTTTCTTTTCCTTGCTATCTAACTCCTAACACCGTGGTCCAATTTGAATTAGCTTCTAGCTTACAGGAGTATGTTATTCCTAACTTAGAAAAAAGCCCTTATTAATTTATACGTGTTTTTGAGAAATTAGATGAGAGTTTCTTGAAGAAGTTAAGCTGCATAAGTTGATTTTTAACTTATATGAGAAATCTGATTCACTTTATCTCCTTGATTTATTTTTCTCTTCTCCAATAAGTGTTTGGTCAGAAGTTTATCCTAATTGGTTCCATGAATAAAATGTTTTCATCAATAGCCTCTAACAAAATGATAAAGGCCCAAGCCCAACCTCCTAATAACAATTATACCATTACTGTATATAAGGTCCTTGAGAGAAAAGTGATAGTTCCTTGACCAATACAACTATTATTTGGTGGTGTTGTGTTGCAGTGCATTATAAATTTAATAAGTTCCACCAGTTAATGTGACTGAGATAGAGGTAGGGTATTTTCCAAATTTTCTTGTTTAATACATTTACAGATATATATCAACTCACCTGTCAATATAACTCATTTAGGTTTCATTTGGTGGCATACAGATATAGTGGTCAATTTTGACATATATGATTTTAACCATGGATATTTCTGAACCTTCTAGTTAATCTTTTGCATAGAAAAGATATGTAAAGACTTACTTTGTTCTTTGGTATAGGAATGTGTTAGGTAACCCCTATCTGCTTGTTATTTTAGTTAGTTATATAAGATAGTTGGTTTAGGCATGTTGCCTATAAATAAGAAGGTGCTGAAAGGGAAGAGGGAGCTTGTCATTTTTGTTAGACGATTATGGCCTTTGGGCTTTTGGGAGGTGCAGATCCTTGGAGTTCTTCCAAGATCTAACCATTTTCATTCTTCAATTCTTTAGTTCTATTTGTTATTCTTTATCAATTTACAGAATGATACATAGGAAAGACATCATGCCAATTGGAAGTCTGATATAGTAAAGGGGTTTATTCTCACTGTAAATTTGAAAAACAGTATTATACATGGATGTATCATGTTGTATCTGCAACATGTTAAATCTTTCTATCAGCTAGCTATCTAAAAAAAGAGCAAATGTACTGCATTTTTTTACCGTCTCAGTGTGGTACAAAATAATGATATTGATAACTGTGGACTATCCTTTATTTTTAAACTAACCATAATGTACTGCCTGGTTACATCTCATTCACAGCTATAGAAGATGCTTGTGTGTTCAACTAATTTCACAAAATTGCTAAATGGAAATATCCTAACTGCCTGCTTGTGTGTTCAAGTGCTTTTAAAATGAGGCTCAAAGACCTCTCTCTACAATGGATTTTAAGTGCATATATTACCTCTTAATGATTAGTGTCTAGGGTTTGTGTCACAGTGGATTACCAACTGAAAATTCCAAATTTCCAATCGTGTAGTGAAATTTTAGTCTGTACAAAGTTTTTTATGTTGATAATATAAGCTTGATTTGGTTTTACAAGGCTTAATTTGTGCAAGCCAATGTGCTAGATTTCCTAAACAGTACATTCTTTTCATTGTTTTTTTTTATCTTTAGTTAGTTTGAAATCATGGAAACACAAAAGTTGATGAATAATACATTCACAGCATATTATTATTAGCCCGGTGATTTAACTGATTGTAGGCCTCATACTTGTTATGGGGGAAAGGGTGTGGAGTAACTGGGAACTCCATATCCTTTTTTAGTTTACTTTCTGTCAATTCACCTGCTTTTGTTCTGAGACCTAAGTAATTCTAAATTTCCATCATGTATCTGACCAAGGTGGAGAAACGTCGATAAATATTAGCATTAATTATTATGTATCATTCTTGTTCATCATGTGAATTTGATTTCCATTGGTTCTCTTGCTACCATTATTATCAGCTTAATTACCTATACAACCAAAGTTGTATTTTGTGATTTGTGTAATAGTGGAGATCAGTTTAGTATAATTGTGGCTATGAATGTGGAAGTGATATCTCTCTTACTCTCTCGTTAATTTTTTTACAGCACCAATGATTCTGTTTTGGAGGAAATGAAGAAAGAATACATGTTAAAGCAAGGAGGAGAGAGCTCTGCTAGAATCTAGACTGCTTGATTTCAATGCCAATGTGTACGCAACGAACAATTTATCAACATAATCCGATGAATCTTGCATTCAAATTCTTTAGATATTTAGTATGAGGTCTTCGTTATTGTGATGTCATGGAGCATCATTATAACAATTTTTTTTTTTTTTTTTTTTGTGAATTTTGTATGGATAATAGAACATATCGAAAAGATCATTTGTATGGTTCGTTACATGATCTTAAAGTAGTGTCCAATTGGTACCATTTTGACTAAGAACATTTGAATTCAAAGATTGGTGTTGTACGTGCTTTGGAAAGTGGGAATAAAGCAAAACAAATACACTATAAAAGGAGCTTAGTTATTTTGCTCAATGTGCCTTCCAACTCAGAAGACGGACTCATTCTCCCTAGAGAGAGAGAGAGAAAAAAAAAGAGGTATTCGATTATTTTAAGAGTAAATTTATCTAAATTTATTTTATTTAATAATTTATATTTTACATTTTAATGATCTAATTGTTGAATTTAAAATTCTTAATGTATATACTAAATCTGTAAATTTTAAAAAAATTAAAAATTATTTGATACTTTGTTTCGTTAATTTAAATCAATGTATAAAATACTTTTATGATTATTTATCAATTTAAATTAATGAAACAAAGTGTCAAATGATTTTAAAATATTTTAAAAGTTTATATACTTGATTTACAGACTTTTTTTAATATATCATTTTTTATTATTTTCGTAAATATACCTAGACCCAAATTATTTACGTGAATAACCAACTTTCAAAGCCTAGTAGTAATCGTTTTTCTCTTGTTTTTTGTATATATTTTTTGATTTTTAAATTAAAAAATTATTTTAATTTATTTTAAATTTCAGAAATTGAATATTATTTTTATTATTTAAATTT